TTGGGTAGTATAGCCATTTTGACAGTATTGATTCTTCCAATCCATGAACACGGTATGTTTCTCCATCTGTTTGTGTCCTCTTTGATTTCTTTCACCAGTGTTTTATAGTTTTCTATGTATAGGTCTTTCATTTCTTTGGATAGATATGCTCCTAAGTATTTTATTCTTTTTGTTGCAATGGTGAATGGTATTGTTTCCTTAATTTCTCTTTCTGTTTTCTCATTGTTAGTGTATAGGAATACAAGGGATTTCTGTGTGTTAATTTTATATCCTGCAACTTTACTATATTCGTTGATTAGCTCTAGTAATTTTCTGGTAGAGTCTTTGGGGTTTTCTATGTAGAGGATCATGTCATCTGCGAACAGTGAGAGTTTCACTTCTTCTTTTCCTATCTGGATTCCTTTTACTTCTTTTTCTGCTCTGATTGCTGTGGCCAAGACTTCCAAAACTATGTTGAATAGTAGTGGTGAGACTGGGCACCCTTGTCTTGTTCCTGATTTCAGGGGAAATGCTTTCAATTTTTTACCATTGAGGGTAATGCTTGCTGTGGGTTTGTCATATATAGCTTTTATTATGTTGAGGTATGTTCCTTCTAATCCTGCTTTCTGGAGAGTTTTAATCATAAATAGATGTTGAATTTTGTCAAAGGCTTTTTCTGCATCTATTGAGATAATCATATGGTTTTTATCTTTCAATTTGTTAATGTGGTGTATTACATTGATTTATTTGCGGATATTAAAGAATCCTTGCATTCCTGGGATAGAGCCCACTTGGTCATTATGAATGATTTTTTTAACATGTTGTTGGATTCTGTTTGCTAGAATTTTGTTAAGGATTTTTGCATCTATGTTCATCAGTGATATTGGCCTGTAGTTTTCTTTTTTTGAGGCATCTTTGTCTGGTTTTGGAATTAGGGTGATGGTGGCCTCAAAGAATGAGTTTGGAAGTTTACCTTCTTCTGCAATTTTCTGGAAGAGTTTGAGTAAAATAGGTGTTAGCTCTTCTCTAAATTTTTGGTAGAATTCAGCTGTGAAGCCATCTAGTCCTGGGCTTTTGTTTCCTGGAAGATTTCTGATTACCGGACATTTCACCCCAAAACAATCAACTTCACCTTTTTCTCAAGTGCACACAGAACCTTCTCCAGAATAGATCACATCCTTGGCCATAAATCTAGCCTTGGTAAATTCAAAAAAATTGAAATCATTCCAGTCATCTTTTCTGACCACAGTGCAGTAAGATTAGATCTCAATTACAGGAAAAAAATTATTAAAAATTCAAACATATGGAGGCTAAATAACACGCTTCTGAATAACCAACAAATCATAGAAGAAATCAAAAAAGAAATAAAAATATGCATAGAAATGAATGAAAATGAAAACACAACAACCCAAAACCTATGGGACACTGTTAAAGCAGTGCTAAGCGGAAGGTTCATAGCATTACAGGCTTACCTCAAGAAACAAGAAAAAAAAGTCAAATAAATAACCTAACTCTATACCTAAAGCAACTAGAGAAGGAAGAAATGAAGAACCCCAGGGTTAGTAGAAGGAAAGAAATCTTAAAAATTAGGGCAGAAATAAATGCAAAAGAAACTAAAGAGACCATAGCAAAAATCAACAAAGCTAAAACTGGTTTTTTGAAAAAATAAACAAAATTGACAAACTGTTAGCAAGACTCATTAAGAAACAAAGGGAGAAGAACCAAATTAACAAAATCAGAAATGAAAATGGAGAGATCACGACAGACAACACTGAAATACAAAGATCATAAGAGACTACTACCAGCAGCTCTATGCCAACAAAATGGACAACTTGGAAGAAATGGACAAATTCTTAGAAAAGTAAAACTTTCCAAAACTGAACCAGAAAGAAATAAAAGATCTTAACAGACCCATCACAAGCAAGGAAATTGAAACTGTAATCATATGTTTTCTTTTTCTTTTTTTTTAAGTCGACCAGCTTAGACTCTCACAAAATTTCAGGGCATTTAGTGCCAGGTGAGTGGTCCAGCCTGGGTCAGGCTTCTCCGGATCCACAGCTTTGGCAGAAGGGCAGGGTCGTGAGCACACCCTGTGTGTGTTGGCGGCGGGTGGGAGGATGTGAGGAGAGAGACAGGGTTCAGAGAGAGAGGGCTGATGATCTGGGCACACTTTCCAGGACGTACCTCCCATACATACTATATTAAAAATTTAAAATTCAAGGAAAACATAAAGTGAGTTAGTCATAACAAATCTTAGATTTAGGCCATATGCTATGTCCCAGAATAATTAAATGTTGTTTCATAACATAACGTTTCCACTCTTTAACCACAATAAAATAAAAAGTCATACAACGGTAAATACTGTCCTTCAAGTAGACCTTAATGATTGGATTCTTTCAAGAAAGAAGATTTTTTTTTTTAATTGACAAAAGTTCATGATATTCAGAGCTGGATTTGCTTAACTGAGTATTCAAGAATTTAACGACACTGTTACTTGAGCTCTTTGGAGCAGAAGCATCACATGTATAAATCTGACAACGCAATTACATTTGTCTCAGTCTTATCTGAGGGAAAGGTCAGACAGCTGCTGAAAGGTTCAGTGATTCTAACTCATGGAACTAACGTTCATCTGTGTAAAAGTGGACATTTTGGAAATGCCCTGATCTTTGTTATGATGAATCAACTTAAAAGTCATTTACCAGTCTGTACTCTCTTTCCTGATTCTTCTACCGACTGCGTCACCAAGTTACCCTGTTATAAGGATGTATATAACATCAATATAAAATAAATGACCCATACTTTTATTTTGGGGATGAGTTAGTCATCCTTACTTGGCATGAATTTTCTTTCTTTAAACAGACAATATCAACCACCCTAGCATCAGACACTTAGTCCAGTTCCACCTGTTTGTGTCATGCCACTTCGCTAAGGACTTCCTTCGTAGCTCAGTTGGTAAAGAATCTGCCTGTAATGCAGGAGACCCATGTTTGATTCTTGGGCCAGGAAGATCCTCTGGAGAAGGAAATGGCAACCTACGCCAGTTTTTGCCTGGAGAATCCCATGGACAGAGGAGCCTGGCAGGCTGCAGTCGCAAGATTTGGACACAACTTAAGGACACTCCAACCAGTCCATCCTAAAGGAAATCAGTCCTGGGTGTTCACTGGAAGGACTGATGTTGAAGCTGAAACTCCAATACTTTGGCCACCTCATGTGAAGAGTTGACTCATTGGAAAAGCCTCTGATGCTTGGAGGGATTGGGGGCAGGAGGAAAAGGGGATGACAGAGGATGAGATGGCTGGATGGCATCACCGACTCGATGGACATGAGTTTGAGTAAACTCCGGGAGTTGATGATGGACAGGGAGGCCTGGCATGCTGCAATTCATGGGGTCACAAAGAGTCGGACACAACTGAACGACTGAACTGAACTGAACTGAACTAGGGACTAAACCACCACCACCTAACTTAAAATAGAAAGGAGGAAAAAAGCCTCTTGGACCATTTAAAAAAAAAAACTCAGGACAAATTTACATAAGCAACAACTCAAAACAGGCTTCGTACTTACAGATAGAAGCAGATGTACACAAAGATATGGAGTGCTGACAGGAAATAAAATTCAGACACAAAAATCTGCAAGTACCAAATATTTTTATACTTTCCTGCTTTAGGCCAATCAATACTAATCCCCCAAGGCTAATTTGGTCCAGATAGAATCTTACTTGGAAGCCTCAGAAAAACATCTGAAAACCTTCCCAGGAACACTAGGCATGTTGTTTTTCACATAGAAGAGTTTCCATTGTATCACTGCGTACCTTTGGTCTTTAACTATTTATCTTTTGTCTTTCACACTTTCTGACATCTTAATGGGAGATTTAAGTGAGGCGATCACATTTTCCAGTGATGACTATGCACTTAGCACTTTGTATATAGTGTCTTATGTAATCTTTATAACTTTGCTGTATGCATGAAGAAGCTGAGGCACTGGGATTGTTGTCACTTGCCCAAGTTATCCCTTTAACATATAAAAACGTATACATATGATTAATCTGTACCCACACTCTCTCTGCCATATGAAGTTGAAGAAGGGGATTTAGCTAGCTAGTGGATAAGTATCATTGTGTGAAATATGTTTGATATGATTTCAGTGTTGTTTCTGCAATAAATGATAATTAAACATAAGTACTCTCATGGAAAAAGAACACTAGAAGGCAGACTATTTAAGTTCTAGATTTGACTTCCATACACGACTAGCTGTGATTTGGGACCAAGAGTAACATTTCTAGGCCTCAGATTCCTTCTGTCTGGAAAGGAAGATTCAAGAAGGTAAATAACTGTCATCTCTGCTACTGTTATAGTCCCAGTGCTTAGATGGGCCTTTGAAATTTAGTATGCTCTCAATAATGTTTATCAAGTAAATGAATGAAAAAGAGAGTATAAATTGAGAAAGAAAAATGGCCATAAAACCTAGCCCATCACAGTACATTTTTCTCTGTGCAAACATTCTTTGTTTACTTATCTGTCTCCCACTGGGAACTGAGACCTGGGGCTGTGGTCACGTCTCCCCATTCCCTGGAACGGTGTCTGATTCTACCACCTGATCAGCTCTCAACAAGTAAAAAACTTGTTTAAAAGTCTGGAGCAAAGGACCGTTTGCTTCATCATCCTCACAGAACTGTTCACATGGAAAGTAGGTTTGAATATCAGCGTGGGTTTCTTCAGGCACGCATTTACAGAACAATGACAGTTGATTATGACTGAGAGTAAATCAAAACAAATGAAGCAAAATATAAAGTAACACCAATATACTAAGTATTTCCTAATGTTTTCAGACTTTGGGGATACCCTGAATGTCTTGTATGGGAAAAAAAATGAATGTGTGAACTAATTAAAAAATCAAGTCAGAACTTGAATCCGTGAGTAGATCCCGGCCCTTGTTGGTCAGTAACTCTTGATGTCTCAGCCATGTGAGGGTGTGTCCTGAGCCGTCAGACCTGCTCATTTTACGTTCTCTTTTCTCCTTAGTCTGTGAACTTCTGGTACGTGCTGGTGATGAATGATGAACACACCGAAAGGCGCTATCTGCTCTTCCTCCTCCTGAGCTGGGGACTCCCAGCTTTAGTGGTGATCCTCCTCATAGTTGTTTTGAGAGCAGTCTATCATCAGAGCATGCCGCAGACCTATGGACTCATCCACGGTGACCTGTAAGTACATCCAGGGAGCGCCCACTGCCTCCTCAGCCCTAGTGTACCCTGGCAACTCTGCTGGTAGATGGTGGGAGCTGCTGACTCGGGGTTCTGACCAAAGAAGCACCACGAAGACCTTTGTCTTCCTGCCACACCGTCTAAATCTCTCCGTCCTCTAATTCTCTCTTTAAATAAAGAACTGGTGCCTCTTCAGTCCCTTCGATAGACACCGTTTTTCTCAGGTGGGTTGATGTATCAAACAGTTCATAGCCATTTATATTGAGACCTTACCATAGTTTAGTTTGTTAGATTGTAACAAACTAAAAATACCTAGTGAAATCAGGGAACTCTGAAAGTTTTGATCAAGAATGTGATCAGTGGAAACTTTTGAGTGTGGCACAGTTATCTAAGGAGTCTGATGCTTTTGGGAGGGGGAGCAGAGTTTGGCAGGTACCTTCATTCATAAGATGCCTAAATACAAAAAGGCTGTCAGAGTGAATAGAGAGTGGCTACAAGAGAACATGGGAAGGAGCCATGGTCAACTAGGTCTTTCTGATAGATTCTTGTTAAAGTTCACTGTAGTCTTGAAATCTAACAGATCTTTATACATACATGTATATGCGTGTCTTAATCCTGATTTTGGTATCTTACAACTTTGAGGACCACTCAACCCCTTCAAAAACCTTTGGAATAATAAAGGTTAATCAACTCCCTTGGTGTAATGAGGATTCAGAGGAAAAAGTAACATTTGTTAAGTGAGGAAGAATAGCCTGGTTGTAATCTTATGAGGACAATAGTACCTCTTTATCTCACAGGTTATAGTGAAGAAAATAATTAGGTAATAGATGTGAAAAATCTTTTAAAATAAAAGCACTATATTAAGCAGAAATTATTTTAATGTCATTATTGCCTATGATCAGTTATAGTCATCCATTATATACTTAATCAATGCTTGTAATCCATGTTGCAGATACACTTCACACATGGGTAGTCACACACTAATATCCCACACCCGTTTGACCAAAGGATATTAACTATGTAATACAAACACACCTATTGAGATACCATCTATAGTAATTTTGTCTTTTTATTTAAATTCAGTAAGATTCCCTCATGCTCATTAATTTGTAGTATTATAACAATTTATTAAAATACAGTATTATATTGTATCCATATAAAATTCTTAAAGCCTGATCTTGTAGAAAGGAGTAGTTGTGTCTTTTTCCAATTATATAAGACATTTAAAATTTTTTTATTGGAGGGACTCCCCTGGGGGTCCAGTGGCTGAGACTTCATGCTCCTGATGCAGAGGACCTGGGTTTGATCCCTGGTCAGGGAAGTAGATCCCACCTGTCCCAACTAAGAGTTCACATGTTGCAGCTAAAGGTCCCACATGCCTCAAGTAAGACCCATCACAGCCAAATATATAAATAAATGTTTTTAAAAAGTAAAATAAATTTTAGTGGAATATAGTTGATTTGCCATGTTGTATTAGTTTCAGGTGTGGAGCCAAGTGAATCAGTTATACATATACATATATCCCCTCTTTTTTTTTTAATTCTTTTCCTGGATAGACCTTTACAGAGTATTGAGTAGTTTCCTGTTCTGTCCAGCAGGTTCTTATTAGTTATCTATTTTATATATAGTAGTTTGTATATATCAGTTCCAGTCTCTCAGTTTATCCCTCTCCTCCCACATCCCCTTGTGACCATAAATTTGTTTTCTACATCTGTGACTCTCCTTCTGTTTTGTAAATAAGTTCATTATGACCTTTACTACTCCTGACATTAATTTAAATCTTGGACTGCCAGGATTAATTTCAGAAAGTTTTGCATCTTTCTTTGTCAAATAACCATGAGACAAGTCCTGGTGGGCAGTAGCATCTCTTTCATGAGCTCCCTTTAAGACAGGAGTTATTGGTGGCAGTCTTAGCATCACATGTGTATACACCCAGCCTGGATAAATGGGACCCAATGCAAGTGATGTTAATCAGAAGAAACTCCCTCTTGATGCTTCTAAAAGGATTTTTAAAGAGAGAAATAAACTGTTTATACAAGAATGTCCAAATCAACCGAGTCTTTAAATATTTGCCTCTGAGGTCTTTGGAGAAAGTTCTTTATTACCAACTCAGCTATAATAAGTGAAATGTAAGATATATTAATCTTTCACCCAATCTTAATATTATAGGACTATTGAAACTTTGGTTAGTATAGGTTATTTTGCTGCTTCATTCACATATAATGTTCATGTGAATTTATTCCAGATTTTAAAAAAATTTGTATTTTTAATATTACTTTAATCTCAGTGTAAGAAAGAATAATTACTATGTTATTTTTGTAAAACATTTATGTAAAATATTTTATGCTTATATAATCATTTAAAAACATGTCTTTCCTCTGGGGATGATAGCATTGTGGTTGTAAAATAGTAGGACATCTGTTGTGCAGTAGTTGTTTGTAGTAATAAAACTTTTTTAGTTAAGAATTTTCCCTAAGTAGATCTCTAATGCATTAATATATTCAAGTTCTTACAATGCTTTTGTCAAACTTTGGAGCCAAGATTTAGATACTTACATAAAACCAGGAAGTGATCTTTCTTCTCCTATTAGCTGAAAAAGTTTGCAAGTTTGGTGTTATTTCTTCTTTATTATTTTTGAAGAAGTCACACATGAAGCCAGCTAGGCCTCGTGTTTTCTTTGCAGGAAGACTTTTAATTACAGATTCATTTTCTTTTAAACATATAAAACTATTCATATTTTCCGTATGCAGTTCCTTCTGTGTCAATTTGATAAACTGTCTTTTTTCTAGGAATATTTCTATTTCATCTACCTATTCAAATTTTTTAGTGTTTGTAGGAACGAATCTATTTTTCATTCTTGATATTAATAATTAGTATCTTCTCTCATTTTTTATCTCTAGATCAGTCTTGCTGTGAATATTGTTGTTTTTTCCCAAATTCGACTTTTGACTTCTTGATATTCTCAATTGTGCATTTATTTTCAATTTCATTGCTCATTTTCTTAATTTATTTTTATTTTTAGGTTTCATCTCATTTTTCTTTTTTTATTTATTCTATTTATCTTATTTTCTTTGTTTACTATGTGTTGCTGCCAAGTTGCTTCAGTCGTGTCCAACTCTGTGTGACCCCATAGATGGCAGCCCACCGGGCTCTGCCGTCCCTGGGATTCTCCAGGCAAGAACACTGGAGTGGGTTGCCATTTCCTTCTCCAATGCATGAAAGTGAAAAGGGAAAGTGAAGTCGCTCAGTCATGTCCGACTCCCAGCGACCCCATGGACTGCAGCCTACCAGGCTCCTCCATCCATGGGATTTTCCAGGCAAGAGTACTGGAGTGGGGTGCCATTGCCTTCTCCTACTATGTGTTAGGTACTATGTATTTATTTTATTTATTTAAAAGAAATTTCCCCAGATTTATGGAGATATAATTCACATATATAATTTTATAAGTTTAAGGTATCCAATGTGATGATTTGATACTCACATCTGTTGTGAATTATCACAATAAGATTGGTTCACACTTCCATTACCTCACATAATTACTGTGTGTGTGTGTGTGTGTGTGTGTGTGTGTGGTAAGAACATTTAAGATTTCTTCTCTTAACAACTTGCAAGTACATAATACATTATCGTTGAATGTAGCCACCATGCTATACATTGAATCCCCAGAACTTATTTATAGCTAGCAGTTTGTGCCTTTTGACCATCTCTCCACTTTTCCCATCCTTGGGTCACAGCAGCCACCATTCTAATCTCTGTTTCTATGAGTTCAACTTTTTTAACATTCCTCATATAAATAAGGTTTATAATATCTATCTTCCTCTGTCTAAATTATTTCACCTAACATAATGCCCTCAAGATCTATCCATGTTGTTGCACATGGCAGGGTTTCCTTTCTTGTGACCAAATAGTAATGTAGTGTATTGTATATATTGCAATATATATCTCACATGTTTACCCATTCATTCATAGATTCTTAGGTTGTTTCTATATCTTTGCTACTGTGAATAACACTGCTATGAACATGGGGGTGCAGATATCTCTTCACAATCCTGATTTCATTCCCTCTGTGTACATACCCAGAGTTGGGATTGGATCTTATAATAGTTCTATTTTTAACTTTTTGAGGAACCTCCATACTGTTTTCTACAGTGATTGCAACAATTTGTATTCCCACCAAGAGTTTGTGATCTTTATTATTTCCTTCCTTCTGCAAACTTTGGGCTTCTAGTTCCTTGAGGTTTAAAGTTAGATTGTTTGTTTGAGATCTTTCTTTTTTCTTCATATAGGTTTTTATCACTGTAAACTTTATCTTAGAATTGCTTTTGCAGCATCCCATGAGTTTGGTATATTGTTTTCCATTTTACAGATTTTTTTTTTTAATTTCCCTTTTGATTTCTTCTTTGACTCATTGGTTGCTTAGGAGTGTGTTGTTTAATTTCCACATATTTGTGAATTTTCCAATTTTATTCCTAGTAGTAATTGATTTCTACTATAGTTTCATACTATTGTGGTTAGCAAAGATACTTGATATGATTTGAGTATTTTTAAATCTGTTGACTGATTTTGTGGTCTAACCTATGATCTATCCTGGAGAATGTTCTATGTGCACTTGAGAAGAGTAGATATTCTACTGTTGTTGGATAGCATGTTCTATATGCCTTTTAGGTCCATTTGGTCTAAAGAATAGCTCAAGTCCAACATTCCCTTACTGATTATTTGACTGGGTGATATCCATTGACTGGGTGATATCCATTGTTGAAAGTGGAATGTTGAAGTCCCCTACTATTACTGTATTTTTTGTCCACTTCTCCTTTTAGATTGGTTAGTATTTGCTTAGTATATTTGGGTTCTCTGATGTTGGGTACGTATATTTGTGATTGTTGTATCCTCTTGATTAATTGACCCTTTATCATTGTATTATGACTGTCTTTATCTCTTGCTGCACCTTTTGAGTTAGTCTAGTTGTATGATTTAAGTATAGCTACCCCTACTCACTGTCA